TCCCTACACTTCTGTTCTGTGTGGACAAACTTTCCACCCACTGAACTCTATTGCCCAGGGTGGTTCTGGCACCAAGCCAGCTCCCCCTTCCGCCCCTGGGGGTGAGACCTTCCTACCCCCAGGGGTGCAACCCTTTGCAAACAGCCTGCAGAGCACATTTTTGCCAGCTAGCCAGGGAATGGATGGGTTCAGGAGTGGCCTAGGGAGGTAGGTTGTGGGGGTTGGGAACAAGGTAGGTGGCTGAATCTGGCCCCATGAGCTTCAGACTTCTTTCCCAAGGCAGGGGCAGTAGCTCCCCAAAAAAGCACCTTCCCTCACCACTTCCAACTCCCAGCCACCCTGGGAAGCATGCCCAGCACCCCCCACACCCAATCCTAAATCACAGTTTATCAAAACAGAAGATCTTTAATTTTCTTCCTCTATTTCTTTTTAAATTCCTTTTTTTTTAACTCTCTTTATTTATCCTTCAGTGGCTGACTTCCTTCATTTCACCAACCTTCCTACCTTTCCGCCTCCCATTTTAATTGCCCATGTTGATCCCATCAAGTCCGTCCCATCCTCCCCCTGAGAGCAAGCTCACCAGCCCTGTAGTGGCAACTCACAGGTATAGAGGGCTAGCCTGACTAGGAGCTAATGGCAAGTTACAAGTGTGTAAGTCAGGAAAGTTTTTAGCAGTAAGGTGCGACTACTCCAAACTCAAGCTAGCACTAACACTGATCAGCATTTGAACAGCTCAAAGTGCAACATATAACAAGGCCTTTCAAAGGTAGCCTAAATCAGTAATGTGCAGTAAAACATCTTGAATTAGAAAATGCATGCCATTAATGATTGGTTCCATGGACTTGCACTGTAACTGCATAACTGCTTGTTATTTTTTTCCCCTCTTACCCCTCAACCCTTCCAAAAAGGAGAAAAAAACACCCAACAAACCATTCTAGAAGCCTCATAAAAACATGTAAATGCATAGGCCTTTGCTGTGCAGAAGGTACAATGTAAGGGAAGTCTGCATAGCACAAATCAGTGTCGTATAGAGATACTTGAACTTGTCTGGGTACCAAAAACAATGTAGTTGTTTTAGTGGAGGCTGGTTAAGGAGGTGAAATCCTCATGAGTCACAGAGTCCCCTTGCAGGAGGAGTGGGAGGTGGAGAGAACAGTCCACCCTGGGATACTGGAGGACTTGGCCAAGCACTGTGACCCTACATGTAATATACCACATATTCCAATTAAAGCATGGTTCATGTGAGCTGCAAAGATCTTTTACATTTAACCAGTAACAGCTCTGAGGTTGAATCACCATTTTTGTGGCTTGTTATTAGATAAATTGTTTGAATGTCTGCCACAAACCTGTCTGCAGGGATCCCCAGAGCCCTGAGTTTCTTCCCTCTATGTTGCCACTTGCCCCAAGGAGCACAGCAAGGTTGCTGCTTCTTACCGCAGCAAGCCTCAGCTTCACTACTATTATACAAGACCTTGCAGCTGCAGACAATAAATCTCTGCCAGTCTCAGGTGGATTCCCTGTTGGGTCATGAAAGCAATTTTAGGTCCCCCTTTCTGTAGAAAGGGCTATCCTGGAGTATCACCTGCCCAGCTATACTTTCCATAGGCAATAAGTAAGGAGACAGAATACAAAAGGATTAGTTATGTAGGAAACAAGATTTATACAGACAAAAATGACTATAGGTTTGGAGATAGAAAAACGAAACAAGAACAGTTTCTTACCTTGTCATCTGGCTACACCTTAACCCTCCTGAGAGTCCTGCACTCCCCCCCGCAAGTGTCTCTAGAATTCAGCTTGCCTGCTGATTCGGCCAGCCTTGGCTATGGGGGGTCACTGAACCTCCAAAGCCTGGAATCCAAAAGACAACAACCTTAACGTAACCAGACTTGTTCACATAACTTTTTTAGCCTTCAAGGCCAGCCCTCCTCTTCGGGACTGGTTTAATTGCTCTTAAGCCATCAAAATCTCCAGAAAGTTCTCCCTGAGACACCTAGAGCCCCTCTGGCTATAGGGTCATTGCTCTCTGTTGCCTCTTATTGTGGATTTGATTTCCCCATTGCAGGCAGACAATGCCCAGGGGTATCTAACCCAACAGTGTCTCCTCCTGCTTGCATCTGGGAGTGGCAGTTCTCTTTAAGTATGCATGCCTTAGTCCAGGGGTGGGCAAAATGGTGGATCTGGCTAGTAGCTGGGCTCTATTTCTCAGCGGACCATTCCTGGGTTGCTGCAGCTGGTTTCCATAGAGATGCCAAGAGTGGTGGAGCCGTGACAGCATAGGGTTTCCATGGAGACTGGCCCTGGGCAAGGAGCTGCTTTGGGGCTGGGATCCTGTGATGGTGACAAAGTGGCCTGGAGCAGGACAGAGCCACCATCGCAATCTGCCCTGGGCAGATTATGGCTCTGCCCCAGCTCCAGACCATGCTGTCACTGCCTCAAGATCCTGGCCCCAGAGCAGCTTCCCGTCTAGCCGTACGTCTTGCCAGTGCTGTTGTAGGTGGTTTCCATGGAAGCCCTGGCCCCGTGCTGTCACAGCCCCACTGCTCCTGGGGCCTCCATGGAAACTGGCTGCAGCAACGCAGACAGGGTCCTGGAGGAAATGGAGTTTGCTGTGGGCCCGATCTGGCCCATGAGCTGGACTTTGCTCACCCCATCTAAGTCCCTTGGCTGAACCATGTGTAAAATTATAAAGTTATATACAGCTTAATATAATTTATACCGTGGTAACAATAACACAGATGAATGCAGCATAACTTGGGCTTTCTAATGAGACCTCCAGTGCCATAACAGTACCATAAAAGCACAGGAAAACATTAATGACAGGCTGCAGACCCCCAAAATATAATGGGATTCATGACAGTGTCTTGGTAAAATTTTTTTGCAGTGAACATAATCTCATGGTAAGTGTACCATCTGCTAGGGGCTTAAGTGTAGTTATGCAATTATGTGTACATACAATTTGATAGTTTTAGTAGCAAGTTTTTTCTTTTGCTCTGTAATATAGCTACCGCCACAGGAGTTAAATGGAGGAAATCTGGAAGCTTTGTATATTGTATTTTATAATATGATTTTACCTTGTTTATGCAGTCTTGAAACAGCACCAGTTACACGTGGCTGTCTGTAAAAGAAAAGATGTAAACATTAAGCTATTTGGGAGGCTTCTTTTCAAAATATTGCTAAAACAAAAGTTTGTTATATATATATTTTTTTCAAATGGTCATACTTCTGGCCTAAATGAACCGATGCTATTCTCTGTGCATATTGTGACTGAGGAAAGAAAAAAACTCATGAAGTTGCAAAAACTTTTTCCTTGGTGTTTACCTTGTAAAGAACTATTCCAGCAGTTATGAAGGAAAAGATTAATGCTTAAAAGCAAGGGGGGTGTATGCATGTGTTGGTGCCCTGTTCATAGAAAGGTGCTAAAGTAGAAGTATTTATATACCAGTTAATTTAAATGAGCTTTGGAACCGGAAGATGATCAACTGGTCTTAGAATTCCTTTTTAATTCCTTGAATGCTCTGTGATTCTACAATCTGAGAATCTACAGAATACCACTCACGTACATGCTTATCAGACCATTACCAGTTATCCACAGACAACCATTTAGCTTTGTTGTTTAGATTGAGGAAAAGAGACTCAGGGAAGAAGCAGAGCGAGAAAAACTTAGAATTGAAGAAGAAAAAGAAGAAAAACGACTAGCTGAACAAAGGATGAGAATTCAGAAAGAATATGAGGAAGAGCAGGAAAAGAAAAGAAAGAAAGAGGAGGAGGTAAGTCTTTTTGATGGCTTAATTTCTTTCCTTACCCCTGCCACCATAGCTTAGCATTTACATTTTTCCATTGGAAGAGGGGTTAGAGACTCTTTGTAAACTGATTTTTTCAGTACATGTTATGTTAGTAAAATGGTGTAGGACAACTAATAAGTAGACGATCTTCCCAATTAATCAACAAAAAAACCCCCAACAAAACCCAAACAAACAGAAAAAACCCTTCTGCTTTCCTTATTCTTAGAGGAACATGATCATCAAGGATGTAATCTAGGATTTACTGGGTCCATCTACATGTGTACCTTTCTGCAGAGTTGACTAAGTACACATGCACTGGTATTAGGGTGCAGTAAATTAATTAACTGATGTAAGATAGTACTGTTGAGGGCAGTACTATCTTATGGTGGAGTAATTAAGTGCAATGAAATGCATGTGCAGATGGGGACAGGTTGACTGGGACATGAGGGTGCTAAAATGTGGGGGCTGCCTGCCACCTACCCACATGGCTCTGTAGGTTCTGCACCCTTGTGCCCCAGCCAGCCCCTCTGCACCCAGTGCCACCACCTAGAGCCTGGGGCTGATCCCCTGAGCCTACTGCCAGCCCGCGGCTGCTCTGCCGTGGCTCAAATTGCTGTTGTCCCTAGTGCATGTGTAGATGCTGCACCTGGGAGCAGTTGACTCCAGGTCAAACAGCTCTGGAGTTTATTGCATCACGTTAACTGAATGTGTAGACATACCCGCTAAGCGTTAGTGTGAGTCTTGTCACTACTTTCATTGGAACCGTACTTTCAGATGTTTAAGGTTTGAACAGCAAATGCTCTCATCTAGAAATGAATTTAATTAGATCTGTAACTTTTTCAATGCTAACCACTGAGAGACTATTTTAAATTCTCAAACAAAAACTTTAAAAAAATACTCATGATTTACTTCTATGCAGCAAAGATTAAAAAATGAAGAGATGATACGATTAGCTGAAGAAAGGCGAAAAGAGGCAGAAAAAAAGAAAAGAGAGGACGAAGAAAAACAGGATGAACAAATTAGACAATATTACGAGCGAGAGAAGACTGCAAAGATAGAAGAGGAAAAGAAGGTGGTATACCTTAGGAACTTCCATAATTTAAGACCTTTTTACTTCACCTGGTTAATTAGAATGCTGCCCAGGGCCCTGCCTTCAATAATATCCCATTGTAGGTACTGCTGATCAAGTTTCCCTCTCAGGTGTGTGCGTGTGCAGCCATGCACAACTAAAAGTTGGCAATGCACAGCCTTTGCAAGGCCTTGCACCAGGAGAGGAGCTTAAGGTAAGCTCCGAGGTGAGGCGGGGACGGGAGCCTGGTGCAGGCTTCACCGGCTCCAGGGAACTGCTCCGCTCCCCTGCATTGCCTTGGGGAGTGAGGAGGCACGTGGTGTCAGGGCCGGGGAGTGGAGCAGTTCCCTGGAGCTGCGGAGCCTCACTCAGGGCAGGCAGCAGCTCCTTCCCCAGGTGAGGCAAGGCAGGGATGGAGGCTGGGGCTGGGGCTGGCACAGGCTCCGCCGGCTCCGGGGAACTGCTCTGCTGGCTCCGCCAGCTCTGGGGAAGTGCTCCACTCCCTGGCCCTGATGCCACTTGCCTCCTCGCTCCCCAAGGTGAAGCAGTGGAACGGAGCAGTTTTCCCCGGAGCTTGTAGAGCCCGTGCCAGGCCCGGCCCTTGGCCCCAGCCTTCAGCCCCCCAGCCTCTGGCCCCCAGCCATCAGCCCCCTTCAGTAAGTGTCCCATGCCGGACCGAGGTGGCACGCTAATGGACAGCTGCTCCTTAGAGGGAACATTGCTGCTGATCCAGTGCTAGTAATTAGGGGCAATTTAGTTGTGCTAGTAAATGCACACTACAGCTGTCTGGAAAATGCTGTGGTGGCTGCTGCTGCTGCTGCTTCTGCTTCCACCACCATCTTGCCCTGTGCCCTTATCCCCGGGTAATCTCATGTTTCCATTCTCCCTCCATAGGCTGTTCTTGATGGTCACATGTAAAAGATATGGTGTACACTGTAGCTTATTGTGTAATATAGAGATACCTGAACTTCCAGATCAGTTTAGCCAAAACAGTGTGGGCTAATTTACGCAGCCATGAATTTGTCTCTGTGCCACACTGACAACCTTTTTAACAAGCATTTTAGCTAGCACTCCCCCTATTTTAAAATAGGTCAGCAAGCATTAAAATAGGTTGGTAAACATAACATTGTTTCAGTTGTGCATATTTTCCTGTTTTTCAGCTTTCAAGGCAACCTTCTCCTGTAATTCCTGCTCTTCAGCATAAATCTTTATCAAAAGAAGAGAGACCTACTTCTGTTGACAGTCATACATCTTATTACACACAAGTATGTTTATTTTATAGTCCAAATGTAGTAATTATTAAAGAAGCAGCAATGTGTAAGACTACTCAGTACCTTACTGCTTTGACAGAATAGCACAAGACATTTTTATGCGTCTTTTTACCTTAGCCAGTCCTGTATTTGTAAATTTTTTATTATGATTTTTTTGTAATTTTGAGGTAATTTTTAAAAATAATTCACTACATCTAGAAACCATTTCAAACTAATACACCAGAAAAGAAAAGAATTGTAATGCTGGGCCAGATCAGTGTTCTATCTAGCCCAGTATCCCGTTGACATTTGTAGGAGTGGATGCTTTAGGAGGAGAGCATTGAACTGGCTATATCTAGAGTGATCTGTATACAGATCCTTGTTCATTACCCTTCTTGGCATCCAAAGATCTAGAGCGGATGATTCTTCTTTTGTCTCTCCTTCCATCCTACCATAAGTTTTAGCATGAATCGGACATCAGTGTACTTTAATTTCTCAACCGTCTGAAACAATTACTTGGTTTTAGAGTATAAAAGGTAATGTTTGTGTTATTCACTAGGATCTTCCACAGTCCAGAGTTCTTTCTCCTCCTGTTCCTGCTAGAAGAAACCAGTTGCGTGCCTACGGTAGGTATTCTGTTTTATTCTAAGCTAGTGTAACTAATATCCGCTTCATAGAATCATAGAAAATTAGGGTTGGAAATTATTTTAGGAAGTCTCAGGAAGTCACCACTGAGAACAGTACATGTTAGTTTTTCCTTTCTATATTATCTTTCGTTTGGTTATTGACTACAATTCCTTTGTGGGAGAAAAATCTCTAGCTGTTTTTTCAGGTGCTAAAAATATTTTTAAAACTCCTTATTTGAATTTTTCCTAATAACCAGAAATATCCTTTAGTGGAAAAATTATTGATATTTTTTCTTGGATACAGGGAGTTGTACTTGAAAAACATGTTTTGTTTCAAGAAGTTTACTGTGCATCGGTAAGACCTTTTTACTTCCAGCAGAACACTAATATGAAAAATGTACTTGATTACAGTGTGGTAGTGTGTTGATATTCCTTTGTTAGTGTAGTACATATGGACATAACTAGGAATACTGAGATTAAATATATTTAGACGGCTTTTTAGGCATCATTCTGCTAATGTTATATATTATACCATGGGTGCTCAACCTCCAGCCTTCAGGTCAGATCCAGTCTATGGAGCAATGTCATCCTGCCTGTGGGGCTCCCATGGGTTTCAAACTTTGAGGGCAGGGAATGCTGGCAGCATTTAATTGCCCCCGCTGCCAAATTTCCAGACACAAGGGGGGCCCTGCAGGCTGGATAATGTGGCCCAACATGCTAGATTGAGCTGGCACTCAGGGTCTGGCTGGTGCATGGGGTTAGAAGGTGGGGGCGCCACTGAAGTAGAAGATAGGGTAGCCTGTGAAAAGAAATGTTAGAATCCTGATGAGTTGGGACAGTTGAAACGGCAAGCAAAGCATAACAAAATTTAGAAAAGGGAGCAGCCCTATGCCATTACTTGGCTATGGAATGGACAGGTTTAAGACATTTTTCATTCCTAAAATTTCTGGGTCTCCTTACTGCTATCTCTCTTTGTTTTATTTACTTTATCCTTTTCTGACATCTGTGGATTTTGGACTCATCAGAATAATCCTTTTTGTCATGCACTTTGTGACCATTTGCATTAGCACCGAGTGGATGCAAGTAGATATTTTTATATTTGATACTGTTTTGTAACAACTTTGCACTAGTTGTTACTACACAGGTATCTGCCAGAGGAGAATCTAGCCTATGTGGCCTACAGCAACTTGGCTTTATTGTGGACAAATTAAAAATAGTTCCAACAGCTCCCTAAAACATTTCTAAAATCTTTTTTTCTATATAATATATGGTATGGAGTAAAAGGTGGCCTGATGAGATGTAGTACTTTGGGATGAAATCCACAACTCACTTTGTGTTTTGTTGTATGAGTAAATGGTTCTATCCATTTATAGTAGCATCTACTTCTATCTAATAGTAAAAGGTCATGGCTATTACTACTTCTAAGGATACTCTTTGTGTGTGTGTGCACATCTAATCTAGTCAGGGAACTTCTGGAGGGACTGGACATATTTAAATCAGCTGGTCCTGATGACCTCCACCCCAGAGTGCTGAGGGAATTAGCAGAGATCATTGCAGGACCCCTGGCACGGCTTTATGAACACTCATGGTGCTCTGGTGTGGTGCCAGAGGACTGGAAAAGAGCCAATGTGGTTCCCATTTTCAAAAAAGGGAGGAAGGAGGACCCAGGGAACTATAGGCCAGTTAGTCTTACCTCAATCCTGGGTAAGCTTTTTGAGAGAATTATCCTGGTGCATGTCCACGAGGGGCCAGCAGGGGAGGTTATGTTTAGGGGCAATCAACACGGGTTCATTAGAGGCAGGTCCTGTTAGACCAACCTGGTGGCATTCTATGACCAGGTCACAAAAACCTTAGACGCAGGGGTAGCAGTGGATGTAGTCTTTCTGGACTTCAGGAGGGCCTTCGACACTGTCTCTCACCCCGTTCTCATTAAAAAACTAGGGGACTGTGGTGTCGATGCCTACACAGTCAAATGGGTCACTAACTGGTTGGAGGGCTGCACCCAGAGAGTGCTTGTGGATGGGTCACTTTTGACCTGGAGGGATGTGGGCAGTGGGGTCCCCCAGGGCTCGGTCCTCGGACCCGCACTGTTCAACATCTTCATCAGTGACTTGGACGAGGGGGTAAAATGTACCCTATTCAGATTTGCTGATGACACTGACACTAAGGTGTGGGGGGATGTGGGCATGCTAGAAGAGAGGAATAGGCTGCAATTGGACCTAGACAGGTTACAGAAGTGGTCAGACGAGAACAGGATGGGTTTCAACACTGACAAGCGCAAGGTGCTGCACCTGGGGAGGAAGAACCAGCAGCAGACCTACAGGCTGGGGAACTCCCTTCTTGTCAGTGCAGAGGCAGAGAAGGATCTTGGAATCATTATTGATGCCGATAGTGTGCGGACGCAGTCAGGAAGGCCCACCGCACCTTATCGTGCATCCACAGATGCATCTGAAGCAGTTCCAAGGAGGTGATCCTCCCCCTCTATGCGGCACTGGTCAGGCCACAGTTGGAGTACTGCGTTCAGTTCTGGGCGCCGCACTTCAGGAAGGATGTGGGCAGCATTGAGAGGGTCCAGAGGAGGGCCACCCGCATGATCAGGGGGCAGCAGGGCAGGCCCTATGAGGAGAGGCTAAGGGACCTGAACCTGTTCAGCCTCCACAAGAGAAGGCTGAGGGGGGATCTAGTGCCCTGTTACAAACTAGTCAGGGGGGACCAGCAGGCATTGGGGGAGTCCCTGTTCCCCCGAGCACTACCAGGAGTGACTAGAAATAACAGTCACAAGCTGGCAGAGGGTAGATTTAGACTGGACATCAGGAGGCGCTACTTCACAATCAGGGCAGCTAGGATCTGGAACCAACTTCCAAGAGAAGTGGTGCTGGCCCCTACCCTGGGGGTCTTTAAGAGGAGGCTAGATGAACACCTTGCTGGGGTCGTTTGACCCCAGTGCTCTTTCCTGCCATGGCGGGGGGGTGGACATGATGATCTGTCAAGGTCCCTTCCGACCCTACAAACTATGAAACTATGAAACTGTTTGTGCATGGGCATATACTAGTTTGTAAAGCAAGTTCCCTAGGGTTTTGTTCTCTCTACCCTTGTTTAATCATTTTTCTTTATTAGTTGTCTCTTAACAAATCAAGTATACATAAAATGGATGGGCATATGGCTTAGGAATAATAGTAAATCCTGCATCTTTGCCTAGGAGTGGGTTAGATGAAGCTTGAGGTCCCTTCCAACCCTCTTATTTTATGATTGTGTTGTAAGCTCTGTTGCTGATTGTGTTGCAAGTATCCTGTTGCTTTTTTTTTTTTTAAGAGCATTTTCTTTTAGGCTGTAGTCATCTCATTTGAGATGAGACTTGTTAGACCTCGATTCCATGTGACACCCAATGACTAGGGAGACAACGGATTGATGTCATCACGTATCACGTGCACACGTTGCTCGTCAACAGCTTTATTCAAAATGGAGACAGCTTTGGGCAAAACTCCAATGAACTGGGGAGCTGCAGCAAACATTAGTTCTTTCCATATTTATACACCTTGGTTTATGCTCAATAACATTTACTCCACCTTTGTCCCTCCTTTGTTCCACCCATGTTCCCTCCCATCTCAAGCTCCACCTTTGTCTATTTCATTAGCATGGAATTGCCTATGCATTTCACTTATTTACATATATTTTTGCTATGTGCGGATGCTTAAGACCCTGACCCTGGCTTCTTTCAGTCATTTGCAGTTTCTTGCTGATTTCTTCACTGTCTCCAAGGTCTTGCTTCTGCTTTATCTCCTAATGGTAGCCGGTCATCTGCATCCTGTTCTCCTTGCACAATGAGCTATATATCTTACAACGCTACTACATTGTTAGGAAAATGCTTGCCTACGCATCTTCCAATGTTACTTTTAACATACCATTCTGGCTTGTGGTTAGCAGCTTTTCTTGGCCACAGGTTATAGCTTTTTATTCAGCTGCAAATCCAATGCTCCCTAAGATCCAAATATTGTCACCCTGACAAGCCTGACCTGGTTCCAGACAGGTGCAGCTCATTCATTTATGTGCCTCACCTTTCCTTATATTTCTGCTTTGCTTCTTGTTGGTGGTAGGGGAGGTAACACGGCCTAGCAAACTTGTCCCTGGAATCACCTAAAAAGCTTTAGAATGTTTTATCCTACATACTCCAGCAGAAGTATACTTGGACATCTCTAGGATGCTGGGACTTTCTCCTGGGACAAATGGAGAGTCTATTTAGAGCCTTACAGCCTGTTAAAAATCTGTCCTGATCACAGAAAGATCAGGTAGCCAAAACCATATGCTGTGTATTTTGTGTTCTTTTAAATAGTGGCCTGCAATTCTTAGCACTGAAATAGAAGGGGTAACATTTTAGGAGTCAGTGACTGACTCGGTTGTAAAGGAACTTGGCCTTAAAATAAACACCAGATGGAAAGCAGTGCAAATCTTAACTGAGCCCTCTTCTTCACTAAATACTTTTCACACCAAAGCATTCAGTCCCTTCTCTTGTGGGAAGTAAGGATACATATACGCTAGCACTTGAACTTGAGATTTCTAGATAACCTCTGAGACTAGGACCAAATCCTTTTTCATCATTCTATGCTTAAATGCCACTTGTGTAGCTGTGTAAATGCAATTTTTGACACTTTTACCTTCTGGCTCAAAAACCATCCCTTTCTTCTACTAATCAGACTCCTTATGTAGGTGGACAGGCATATCATAATCAAGGAAGTAGTAGCTTCCACTTCTGTCATCTAAAGCTAGCCAGGATGCTTGAGGTCATGTTTTTGTAGGTGTGATCAAACAATTTCTACCCCCCCACACCTTTTCAAGGTGAAATGCTTCTAAATGATAACTTTGGATGCTTCTTCCTCCTTAGTGATATCTTGACTTTTAATTTTAATTTAATTTAATTTAATTTAATTTAAAATATATGAAAGGCTTGTTCTTTAACATGTTTAACAACTAATCAACATTTTCACACCTTAGATTTCTGAAGCAGGCCAAATAAATGCTTTGTTCCTTTCACACCTTTTATTTTTAAGTTATTGATGTTTAAATTATAGAGGAAAGAAAAAATGTGATAAATGAGCTGACAGAAATGAGAAAGCAGCTTCGTAGTGAAGAGCGGCGACTGCAGGAACAATTGCTAAATGTGGCCAGTGAAGATGACATAACTACAAGGTGAGAGATTACCCTACATTTTTGAGGCTAGTTCTCACATGGTCTGTCATAGTCTTCCAGAATGTGTCACAACAAAAACATACCTACAAAAAAAATTAAAAACTCATAAAATAAAATGTCCCAGTTCTTACAGTATAATTTTAAATTGTTGTGTTTAGTTTCAAAGGTAAGTCAGGTACTCTACCAAATCTATTATTTAATCTGTTCTCTAATTTGAAATATATTAAAACTTACAGATATTATTAAAATTTTTCTTCATATGCTTGTATTCAGTTTTGCTGATGTCAATAGTTGGTAAAATGAAATTGTAGCTAAGTGTGCTATTTTGGACATTTGGCATGATGTTTCCCTGGTCTGTGACAGTAGAAAGTGTCATGGGTTGTATGCAAGTAGCTGCAAGTGTAAATCTTTTCTGATCTGCTACTGAAATGCAGTGTTTTCAGTAGGCCATATACATAAGATGGGCCTCCATGAGTACCAATGGAGGACTCCATATGTAGCAATGATTTGGAAAGGCTTGGGTGTTATTAGTATATATATTGTATATAGCTGATGCTAGTTGTTTATCTGAATTAATAGGGACACCAAGAATTACTTCTTTCGTATTGCACATAGCTGACACAGCAAATAGGTTTTTATTTTAATGTTTCCTAGTGTTAAAATTTGTTTTCAAGTAGAATCTTGCTAATTTAAAGTTTGCTTTTTTGTTTCTATAATCTAATTTGCATATTACTAGAACTTTGCTTATTAAATGAACCAATTCCACAGGAACCCTGCTTTTGTCATTTTGCTTTTCTGCAAAATTCAACAGTTTTTACTATACTAGGGATTAGAATTCAATAAAGATCTTGTTAGATCATAAAGCTCATTTCCATGGCATCTGTCTGAATTTTCAAGATTGTACTGGATTTTGATATTACAAAAATAAATCTTATTTTCAAAATTAAATTCAAATTTTGCACAGCGTTTATCCTTTGAGTGGAAGATGCAATATGAAGGTAAAAGTTTTCAGTATTACCAAAACTGATATTTGTTCAAACAACCCATGAATGTTAACACTTTGTCATGCTCTGTTTGACTTACAAACTTTTCAAGCAGGAAGAGGGAGAGAAATCCAATGGATGTATTTGATATGGCCAGACTTCGGATGCAGGCTCCAGTGAGGCGACCTTCATCAAAGGAAGCAGCTGACGCTGTGAATATACAGAATATCTGGGAGTTTAATGATCTTAAGTACAGAGGTAAGTGGATAGTTTAGTCATAATTATTAGGAGACTCAGTTATTTCTTGATAATCTAACCACAATGAGAAAATCCAGATATTTTGTTATATCTTCTGAACTTATTTTTTTTCCTTTGGCAGCATGTAGTTCCTTAAAGTTACTTGCTGTATTTGCTATGCTTTACCACGCTGCATATGTGCTGATATTTTTTTGTGAAGTCTTTTCAGATTTACAGGCTCTCGATCAGGTTTTTGGCTATTTTTATCGGTGGCACTAACTTTCAAATGCATGTAGGTTACACTTAAAATTAGTTTCTGAAATGGTGTTTCGAGTGGAAATTAAAAATTTGTATCTCTGACAGATTCAGAAACACGAGCAGACTTGAGATATATGTACCCTGATCCTCCAAGAGATGATCAAACCCTAGAGATTCAACAGCAGGCATTGCTAAGAGAGCAGCAGAAGAAACTTAATAGAATGAAAATGAGAAGAGATGAAGAAGGTAAGAGAAGAGCAATTTGAGAGAACTTAAGCCATCAATAAATGCAATGGTAAAAACAGTAGTTGACAGAAGAAGCAAAACCCTAAGCTGGAGTAACTTTGCCCAATTCAATGGAAAATTATCCCTGAAAGAATTCAAGGTGAAACTGCTATTCTGAGTTATGTTAGTTTAGGTTTCAGCTGTCTCTGTCCATCCCAGAGTAGTTGTTTGCTGTAGGCAAATAGGCTGTTACTTGCTCCTCCACCTAGTATGGAGGCACAGTAATAGCTACTTACTATTGCAGGATATATATCGGTCTGCTCCTGATCTGAATGCAACTTTTAAATGTATAAAATACATTGTAAATTAGACTAAGATATGTGTTTTTGGTTAGGGCCTTAACTATATTTTTGGTTGGCCCTGTTCTTAATTATAACAATAATATGCAGCTGTAAATTCCCTTCAACTTGCTGATTTCCTGTAAGGTACATACACAGATTCACTGCATTTAGTTGTGAAACAGAAAAAATAAAGTCCATAACTACTTATGCAGAAGAGGACAATTTGTCAGCACTTCTGTCACTCGAGTGGCTCTTTCCCCTGAGAATGCTTTAATGCTATGTTACGCATACTTGAGAACTTAAGGCAGAGGAAGAGGGATAAGGGTAGTTATAGTCTATGGAAGAGTAAAAAGTTTCTGTTCCTAGAAGAGGAGCTAGTCTGGAACTGCTTCTTAATGACCTCAATCATTAGTGGACTAATCTACTGACAGCATTGTTTGATGTTCGCTATATAAGTAGGTTGGTTTGTTAACTAAGTACTATTTAGGTCAGCAGTTGACAACCTTTTAAAGCTGTGGGTCAGATTGAACTAGTTTGGGTCAGAGATAGGCAAGCAGGTGCTAGGACACAGCCTCCACTACTACTGTTCCCAGCGGTGCCACCGGAAAAAGCACCCGGAGACAGCATTTCCTTTTATCTTTGGTGGCAGGCGAAAGTACTGCTGCCTGAGGCCCCCTGCCACCAAATGCCTTTGAAGTCCATAGGCTAAATCGAATAGTTCTGTGGGCCAGATCTGGTCTGTGGGCCATAGGTTGCCAACCCCTGATTTAGATCAAAGTTAAATTTCTAATATGAAGGAAAAATCAGAGGATTAAATAACGTTTTTTCATTATTATAGTCTCAACTGGGGAACCTTGAAGTTTTAGAAATTCATGTTCTCAGCCAGGCATTTCTTTAGAACCTGCAGATAAAATGGAGCAGTTCTCAGAGCCTTGCACTGCAAGTCCAGCTTCTGTAGTATTGCAGATGGTGGGTGGGGCAGATGCTGAACTGGTTTATTGGCATAGTTCCATTGAATTCAACGTGGCTATGACATAACTCCAGCTTGAGGATCTTCCTCTTTTCTTACTAGGTAAAATCAGTCTTTTTCATCTACTTTTGTTTTCTATGTGCCATAATATAAAACAGCTTTGACCCAGGCCTTTGCTAGTTCAGTGCATTAATCCTTACCTTCAAGGGAGTTAGGACTCAGCTGTGTAAGTGATCAGTTTTCCATACATGGTGCTTTAGTACAGTTGAATTTCTTTTAAATAATACAGTAGACAAAGCCTAGAATAAAGCATGTGGAAGAGGGCAACAAGCTGTCCTGTACCAAGATGCTGTAACTATGAACAAATTTTCAGGCTAGGGACAGAAGTTACATATAAACCGGTATAAGCAATTGGAAACCAGTTCACAACTGTAACACAACAGAAGTTCAGTGAATATAAACCGCTTTCAAAATGGCCGAAACCAATTTAAGATGCACCTGGATGCAGTATCAGACTTAACTGATTTAGGTTAAATCGGTTTATTGAACTTCTCTCTCGGATCCCCTCCAGATTCAAGGTAACTCAGAGTGCCCCAGCATCCTAGATTGCTTTGCATCTCCTCTCCCTTGTTGGGTGGGTGGTCTGGCTTTGGCCCAAGCTATCTGCTCCAGCTGAGTAGGGAGGAGTATAGTCACTTCTGGCTTTTGGCCTGGGCCACGGCAGGCATGTGGCTGCATTTCTGGAATCAAAAGTGAATGTCTGTTCACTTGCTTATCTGTTCAATCTACACAGCTTAGATTAACCTGCAAAGACTGAATTGATTCAGCCTCTGGCTTTTTGACCGTCTGTATTTAGCCTCAAAGACTAATCACTTTCATGTTGTAAAACCCTCTCCTATAAGAGCTTTTCTAAAAAGATCAAGTTAATTGGGGAGCAAACTAAGCTGCTTATACTAGAGAAGTGAAAAAGACTGAAGAATTCTAAGACTTCAGTATTCTAATGTGAGAAGCAGTTACATAGTACACTGATGGAAATACAGGCAGTCCTAAGATATTCAGGTGTGGAAATCTGGACAGAATAAGTTTAGTGTGGACTTTATTTCCTGCATGGTGTTAATTTCGAGGCTGCAGCTTCTGTGAAAGGTGAAAGGGGAGGACTCTACTTTGAAAAGAAGTAGTAATCTCAAATTCTGTGTATAAACTGATCTCCCCCAGTCTCACTATTTGCATGGATTCATACAGATTATTACCAACCATCACCACCATTACTATCATCTTTCTCATCAGGTATTTGTTTCATACTCTGCCTTCAGTGATAACAGGTGAACGTCAGATCTGTTGTATGATTTAGACAGGAATGAAATGGTATAAATGTCTACCATGTTGACGATTGTTGAGTTTCAGTGTTAGTATGCATTCAAATTGGGGCAGCTCTCATTGCCATCAGATCTGTTCTTTCAAGATGTTTCTAGATTCAGACAGAAATAATGGTTGATTCAAGTTTGTAAGCCTATTTTTGCTATTAGAAAGCTAGGGTGTTTTTTTTGGGGGGGGTGGGGGGGTTGCTTTTTTTTAATGTGAAGGCTCAGATTTGAGTGCAGGTATCACAGGTAAGTAATAGCACATTTATTTGTCCTAACTAGTCTACTTCAAGGAAAAATGTTGTCAGTAGAAACTTTGAAGAACAGATTCTTTCTGCATTAGAGCTCCATTTATTGAGAGTTTTGAATAAAATTCTGTTAAGGACATTAGTATTTCTATCATTATTGATTTTTGTGAAGGAAGTGGTTCAGTTGTTTCCAAACTATATTAGAAGAATGAGGGCCTTTTCTTACTGTTGACTTCATACTTTTAGGGCTCAATTCTGTTACCTTAGTACTATTTTATAGGATTTTAGGCTGTAGCCGTCCTATCATAATGTCTAAAGGTGACAATATTGATCCCAAAAGGCAAAAGTTGTGGGCTAGATGCATGAGGGCCTACATATGTGTTGTGCATTAATGAGAGTGAAGAAGAGGAAAAGTATTTCGTTCTTTCAAAGGAGTTTCTGGTATTCACGTTACATATTAAGTTTAAGTATACATACTGAAGTGGCAATGGTAGATAAAGGTACATGTGAACTGATTAGGACAGACAATCGTTTTATATTGTATATGTCACTAGTCCAATGGAGTCCTGACTTGAACTAGGCTTTTGGGAAGTTACCATTTTTAATAGTGAATTTATCACCTTTTAGTTTGAGAAGATTTTTCTGCGTCAGATGTCTTTCTGATTGACAATTCAGGTTGCTTGGAGAATACTCCAGTATTGTCTGGAGGCCAATTCGTTAAGTTTTTTGGTTTGTTTTTTTTTTTTAGTCTCAGTCCACTTAAGCCCATGCCTTCAACTCATGCTAATTCTGAATGGATAATTTAGTTTTAGATAATACGCATATGACCAAAGAAAGTGTTCCCAAGACATCTTAGTTTGGCAGACAAGTAGCTGAATCTCAAGCACAGCAGTAGACGATTATTTTATAAAGTAGCCTTATATACCTGATAAAGGAAACTTGTAGAACCCTTCAACTGCCTCCCGCTTTGTTTTATGGCTGTTATCAAGCCTCTGTCTGTTTCTATCTTTTATTCTCATAAAGTCTGCTACTGTCACTCATTTCCAACTCTATTACTGAGCCATAGAGATGAGTTAATTGCTTTATATCCCTTTTATTTATCCAATTAACCTTCCTGGAGACATTTTGCCTCCCTTTTCTTTAGCAAAAATAGATCAGATGATTTTTTCATAGTCTGATATGAGACCACATTAAATTAGAGCAGCATGTCTTTTTTCTTTCCTTTTTTATAGTACAGAAAGTATGGTGCTGTTGGCTTTTATAAGCAAAGACTAGTTTATTTTCCTTCATTAATAGAAGAGATCTTGCTATGTTGCTAGGGCAAAATTGTACTATGGATATAACTTCTTTTTAATATGAATAGCCTTCTACTGCATTTCCCCTTCCAGTCTTAAAAACAAGAGAAATCTGTTAAATGTTAGTGGCAACTGAAAACGAGTAGATGAAAAAAAGCATTAAAAGTAATTTCAGATACTACACCTATCTGTGCCACCACCTCCTGAATATGTTTGTTTTGCAATCTTACCTTTTCCATTTTTAAATGTTTCCTTTTCCCTTGATCTTACGAGGTCCCTTCCAGCCCTAATGTCTGTGAAATCTATGCTGCGTGAATGTCCCATGCAATCAGGAGAAACTAAATGTCCTCAAAGCACTTGCAAACATTCAGAGTAAATAAACTGAAAAATGGAGAATTTTTTTTTCTTTTTAAGGTTTTCCTGCTATATCCCCTGTTTTCTATATTCTTAAAACTAGTAAGTTAAGTGTATTTGGAGAAGTAAAAAGTATGCGTGTAAGTTTATGTCAAAGTAGTTATTGTACTTAAAAGATATTGGTGCTTCTTCCCTGATAGAAGGAAGTATAGTTTAATGTTTAGGGCATGGAACTGTAAGTTCACCATTGTGTGTCCAGTTTTGTCCCTGATTTGCTGGGGTTCTGAGAATATTATTTCACTTGTACTTCTATTTCCTCCAGCTTGTAAGATAACAGTTGCTTTTTGAGGGAGACTGTAAGCCATTTTTGAGATCTTCACATAGAATCATAGAAAATTAGGGTTTGAAGGAACCTTGGGAGGACATCTTTTCCAACCCCCTGCTCAAAGCAG